TACTGAATAAGTACAGACAAGTTTCTGTTAAAGGGAACTTTTGCAAGCAGTGCCATACAATTTTCTGTTAATAACTTTAGATTTTATTCTGTCATTAGTTGAGATATTCTAAAATATAGTTCAAATATTTTGGAGAATGCCATCATACCAATTTTATAGTAGAAATTTGTCTATCAAAAATTTTGACTAACATTCAAGTTCCTATTGTTTAAATATGTTTACATCTTTAATAGCAACTTCATACCAATGACATCAATCTCCTATGATATAAATGAGAAAAAGAATTCATCAAAAGTATTAAAAAACTAATAGACTCTGCTTTAGCATGCATGAAAATTTTTCTGCTGTATATTCCTACTAAGGACACGCTTTTACTAACAGATAAAAGCAAGACTTACAAGGTCAGGCACATGCAGACCTATTGAAACAAGCAGACCTGCTGCAGCCCTTTGCCAATCTGCATTAAGATCCTGAATGAAGGTGGAAAACAAGAAAATATGGAATGGTGATCCATGAAACATTTGATTGACCATGAGAAGATGCACACACAATCAAATGAAGCGCTCAAACAAATACCAAATAATTGATAATAACTCAATTTTAAAAGTTAACCACCAGTATGACTCAGACTCATACCACCATATCATGGTTTAACTTAATATGCATTAACCTTGACACTAACCACACCATGGACAATAATATTTTAACCTCAATCCATGTAGCATGGATAGAGAGTTCATTAAGGAAAAGATATTGTCCCTAAAGTTCCTAATATTGAGATGCTGCAACTATGAGTCTGCCATTTAGTTCAGAATCTAATTGCTGACAACAATGTATCACCAAACACAAAGTTGCAATCTATTTAGTCAGGAAAATGCACCTTTGAGGAGATGATCTCTGTGGTTGCAATCTTAGCGAGCCTTCCCATGTAAGCCGGATCGATGTCCTTTTTATCTAATGAACGAACTGCAAAGGCCATTACTTGGAAAACTCCAGCCATGTTACCAAAACGCTACAAATTTAGATCAACAACTTAATTACACTCCACAATTTTAGATTAGAAGAAAAAGAACTGATTGATATTCAAATAAGGAACAAAAGGAAATGGCATGGTACCCTACGCCCTCCACGAGAAACAGCACAGCAACAGTCGAGAACCAGAAGCGGATTCCTATCAGTAGCAAACTCAATTAGGCCTATAACTCTGACTCCAGTTGCGGCTAAATTGATTATATGTGTATTAGAGGGAAAAATCGAAGTACGTACAGGGAAGAGATTTCCTTGAGAGAGGCCATGGAGGCCTCCTTGACTATCGTAGATTCATCTGCTAGCGACGAAACCAGCACCTGAACGGCCTCTACAAATCACATGTTTATAAATTCAGAAAAAAAAAATTAAAGAAGAAAAGAAGAGAACAAGAGTAGGTTGAAATTGAAGATACCTGGAGCCGGAATTGAGCTCCCGCCGGAGCTCGAAGAAGCCATTGAATTATTGAATTGTGCAATTCGGAATTCAGAATCGGAAAAATAGGAGAGAAGAGAATGCAGGGACAAAGGAAAGGAGAAGACAGGAAGGTGACAACCCGGCCGCAACGGTCACGTGCTGAACAGGAGTAGTTGAAAGTGAAAAAAAAAAATTATAAAATGTGACCGCCTTGATCTATTTTTTCGAACGTCCCGTTACTTTTCCGTCCGACGAAACTGCGTGGCGGAAGAGGCCGCGACACAACCTTTCTGGCTTTTCTTCTGGCTTTTCTTCACCGTAGCTTCGCGGCGTGTACAACCGTTCTTCATTCGCCTAATTTCATTTTCTTATTTATTGGTTGTGTACGTGACTACGTGTCCCTGGAGTGCAATAGAACGTAAGTGTTTTTTCATTTACTATCAGAAGTCCCCGGGTTTTACTAATTTCGAGATTAATTTTTTCTTAATAAGGATACATCTCGGGATCTCGCGTCTGTTTATTGCAAAATTAAATTTTTTTACAGATTAGTCCAAAACTTAAATCTGAACCTATTTGTAGATGACTTGTAGTGTAGATGTAACTTTGGTTAATATGTATAACGTACGATGCACATAAAATAATTTTAGAAAATGGTAAAACCTAACTTTCAAAGTCAAAATAAGGACATGTGGGCTATGCTGCCTTCCTTCTACCCAAAAACCGAATAAGAACATGTGCAATTGTTCATCTACTCAAAGCCCACAGTCAAAGAGAATATCCGCAGCCCACAATTGTCATAGCAATTTGAAAGCCCACTATCGTTTTTACCCAGTCCAGCACAGCAGTCCACGGAGGCAGGAAGTAGGATCGCATTCCAGAAGGGCAGGGACTAGGGCCATGGGAGGCCTGCGCCGCCCGGCCCATCTTAAATTGGGAAATTTTTCATTTTTACCTACAAGTTTTAGTTAGTTTCAATTATACCCTTTTGTACATGATCCCTCCACAATTTCTTCGGCTCTGTGACTCTGCTATTCTAATTTGAAAGCTAATAGTAGGAAAAATGAACTATCTTTCATTTTACTCTTTCTTTCTCCTTATTCTTCTCCTATTGGTACTTACATTCTAACTGAAAAGAATGAAAACAACGGCCAAAAAGAGGAGATGGCATTACATATGATGTGTCTATTATGGACAAAATCTTATGGTATAACTAGTTGCACCGCTACATTTGTACACCGGAGGATTGCTATCACCGGGATATGTATGAGCCATGTTGCACAGATCCTTGAATCTTTTCGAGTAATCATTAGGCTGACAAGCGGCTTCAGCAAAGTCTCCGGTACAACAAGACTGGGGATCCTTCAATGCATCACATGCACTGTTGCACCCAACATAAGCCCCGTTCTTGTTCGTGGCCACCAACGGTGCAGGGCACACATCACCGATGTTCCTAGCACAGTCCGCCACAGGGCACGGTCTAGAACCGCCTACCGAGGTCCCGCCAACCGGCTCAAATCGGATCGGAGAACCCGTGGTTCAGGCTTAGCTCGTATGAGACAACGGATTGGCTGATGTCCAAGTTGAGGACGGTCACGGACTCACGGGGTACGTAGAGGATGGGCCTTGGCAATCGACACCAGCCCCGCAGTCCCCGGTTTCACAAGTGAAAGTGAAATTGAAAAAGGAATCGTAGGAGCATCCGGTCCATAACCAAATGCTGCCCGTCAATTTATCTGGCGTCGAGAGTATTTCCTCTACTCCTGATCCACGTTCAGCACTAAATTCGCCAGTGGAGGGGCTGGAAGAAAGCCAGACGGTATACGTGCAGGAATTCTGGTATTTGAATATTACGTCGGACTGTTATATATTTTATGTTTTAATAACTTGATAATTTAAGTATTACTCATTATTTTGGTTCATGTATGTGATATAAAAACGAATTGAAGGGAAAAATGGTGTTTTGAAGCTTTATAAACAACACACACCAATGGCGCCAAAAAGAATAAAAGAAGTTGTCACCCATATATATTCTGTAACGGAAAATCGAAAATTAATAACTGAAAGGGAGAGAAATTAAGCAGAAGAAAAATATAAAAATAGTATTGCTTTGTTGTCTTCATAGTATTTTTAGAGGATCTATATATAAGTTTCAACAATAAAATATTTTTAAATTTAAATGTATACAATCAATTAAAATGTGAACGTTTTAATATAATATAAATATTAATATTTTGATTGTACAAACGATATTTTCACATAAACCAATGATATAGAATTTTATCATAAAACTATTATTTTATTCATGATCATTTTTCTTGACACACCAAGGTGATGTCAGTCTTATTTATTTTAATTAGCTATAATATCATTAAATTTTGATCTCTGTATTACATAAAACTCTCATGGGCAGAAAGTAATAAGGTAATTAGGTCCACCAGTGCATGAGAAGGTGCTTGATTTATCATCATAAGCGTAGCTATAAGCCTGAGGACACTGGTTCTTAAAAATCATCGAATAGTTTGTGGGCTTGCAAGTGTCTGCTGAGTTATATTGACCGGTACAGCAGTACTGCGGCTGATTGAAGACCACACAAGCACTCTTGCAACCGATGACACTCCCATCAGAACCTTTAAGAGCCAGCTCAGATGGACATACGGTATTCACGTTAGCCTTGCAGCTGGTGGTGGTGCATGTAGAACCAGAGCCGCCTTGTGGAGTTATTGAGACAGGCAAATTAAAGCCGTCCACGAGGCTGACGTCGAAAAAATCTTGCCCACCATTTGATGCTAGTGTGAATTCTGCGAGGGATGCAGGTGGGGCTCCTCCTGCGCCGTTGCATGCAACTTGGCCGGAGCCACAATCAGCTGTGGCACAGGTAAATCTCCCTGAAGAGCCAGATGAGCATTGTGTTCTAGCCCAGATCCGACCCGTCCACGGAGCGGGGACGTCAAGGGAGGAGGATGCTTGAGAGGCTAACTCGAAGCCAGTGTTTGATAATTGTGCTGCACCACTGGTTAAGATTGCTGGCCAGATTGTGTTCGGACAATTGTTCTTGACAGTGAGGGTTGCTGCATGAATCCCTACATTGAGGAAAAATACATATATATTAAATTAATGCACCACGAAAAGATAGAAAAAAAACTATATAAATACTATTACTTTAGTAATCTTTAATTGCTTAGTCTACCAAACACCATCCATATGAATATAGTTATAATATTATGTAACATTATAAAATTTACATGATCATAATATGTCAATAAATGATGGATGCATATATAAAATATTACAAATGAATCTCTAAATAAAAAAAGTCATGATTCTTTTTATTAATATTATTAATCAATAATATTAATTAGTAACACATTATGATTGTAATTACAATTACACATATTGTTATAATTATATGATTTTCGTAGCATAATCAGAATTTAAAATGCACTCGAGGAGAAGAATTTTTTAGAAACAAGAGCACCACAAGGAGCTTCACGTATTGCTAGTGGTACCAAAAATTTAAATAAACAAAAATAAACTTTTTAGACGCACCTGCAACGAGGAGGATCAAGGTAAGGCTAAAGCAGAGTGAGCAAATCTTCATTGTTTTTGTGTTGCAATTAACTAATTGCTTCTTAATATTTTCTTTTTTTCAGTGAGGTGTAGCTAAGAAAGAATCGGTGGTATATATAGGCAGTTTGGAAGTGCCGTATGGTAGGGTTAAATAATACTAGTCCAAAACTCTGATTGTAGACTAGTAATGGATGGATTTAATTTAATGAGATTTTTATGCTTGACGGTGGTGAAAGGGTCAAAATGAGACTTTTCTAGGGGTTGGTACAATTTGATTTTAGTTATAAGCGAAATTAAATTATTCGTTATTTGAATTTTTTGTTATTAAATTATAAATCCAATAACTAAATTAAAATAAAGGAGTTTATCAATTTCAGTTACTTTTTAAAGAAAAACATATTGATTTCCATTTAAAAAAAAAAAAACTATTTTTATATATTTTTTAATTTTTATTTTATTAATTTCGATCATTAAAAAATTAAAAATTACCCAAGTAAATACATAATTTGGTAAAAAGTGGAGAGAAAACCTAAAACAAATCTAGAAATCATTACAATTTTCTATAAAAGGTTTTTTGGCCATATTTTTTGGTTATATTGATCACAATCATCGGTTTTTTAATTTTAAGACTTAATAATCAAAATCTAAACAATTTGAGATCAATTTGGTTTAATTTCCAATAATAATAATAAAAAGCCAAACCAATCAAACTTAATCTATTGATTATGGTTTTGATCAATTTTAGATTGTTTTTCGATTGTAGATTTTTCCACCCACCCCTACTTTTCTTTTCAAAAGAAGTACGTGATTCATAATTGTCTTTGAAGGAAAATTAAGCAATCATATGAACGCGTAGAAGGACCAATTATAAATAGGCAATAGCTACCATTCTTTCTACATTTGACAATAGAAAATAACTCTCATTTATTCTCAAATTCATCCTAACAACATACATAAATAACTACTATTCTTTTCTATGTTTGACAATAAAAAATAACCCTCTAAAATTTCTGAATTCTCTTTTATTATGCACATTACAATATTGACAATATAATTTAGTTAACATAAATTATGAGTTGCTGTTTTCATTTAATTCAAGTCACATGAGTTGACATATATTCACTTGTTCACTTGTTTAATATTGTATCATTATTGTTGTTAAAAAAAAAAAAGTTTTAAGGACTAAAACTTTGAAAACTAACCACTTTTGTTTAGTCCAGACCATAAAATTCTTTCTATATATATAAACAAACCCTAAGGATTGGTTCTATATATTATTAAGAAGTGTTGTACAATATGTATGAAATGCATTTTTAAGATCACCTGAGACTTTGAAATAAACGTAACAATGCAAGTTATTATCATTTATTAACTATTTTCATACGTCTAAACCATTCATAGTTTTAGTGTAGAGTCAGGGACGAAGCTTGGCTAAGATTTTAGGGGAGACCAACAAATTTTTTTTTTTTATCACATGCAAATGTAATATAAATTATAGGATAATGATTGATACACTATTTGATTTAACACACTTATTAAAAAATTATTATTTTTAAATTTCAAATTAAAGTAAAAAGAATTTCAACCGTAAAATTTAATGATAGAACCGATAGATGTTAGTAAATATATTGAACCAAAAGATGTACTAATTATTTTCCTAAACTACATGATAAAAACAACATAAGTACTTCATTTGCTCTTTACTAAAAATTTGTCTCAAATTGATTATTTTTTTAAATTTCAAGATA